AGACAAAGGCAATAAGCCCCGACGCTGACGCTGGCACTGAAGAGTCTCATGAGGGGGCAGCCAGACATTCCCAAATTCCTAGCACCCCACCAACATAGTTTTCCTTCCTTTTTTCTTTATGTTTTACTGCCTGGCTCCAGCAAAGATCTTTATTTCTAAACTAGGGATTATTTTGGCTTCATCTCAGCAGATCTGTAATATAAATGCACATCAGGATACACCACACGTTTATTCATCACAATGCTGGTTTAGCCTAGATAATTAGAAATCTGAGCCCTTCAGAGAAGGTGCAGCCTAATTTAGTCTCAAAGTCTGTGTCTTAATTGCAATATAAACTCTCTTCCATGTTTTAAAGACAACTAAATTATAAATTACAATATACACACGGGCAATCCAGGAAGTATTCTACACCTATCTCAAGACTGTAATAAAACCCATGTGTTTTCTGTAATTGATATATGTAGCAGATTAAAATGATGAGGTTTAAATATCTGATATCCACAGGAACCTCCTTCTGGCACGCTCTCCATGAAGACAGCCTTTAAAGAATGCACATGCGCTGTGGTATTACCAACAAAAATCAAGATTACTGAAGAAAATTCTTTTTTTGCCAGTCAACCATTATTTAAAGGGCATTTAACCCTCAGCAGCACATCCAAGTGTCAGTGAAACCAATTCTTGAGCTACCTGGCTCAGACCTTCATTGACTCTCACTTTGATTAGGTACACTCTTGCAGCAATTAACATTAATTGCAATTAACATGATGCAATCATTGTTCCGGAACACATTTATGCATGGCCTGAGGTGATCTCAGTCCACACTGATGATGACCCCATCGGTTCAGGAAGAATTTCTGCTGCCCAACACCCAAAGGTGGCCAAAAAAACATCCCCTTCACTCTGCCCACTTAAACAAGAGCCAGGGAACTGCACATCTTTCTACCACTAAATAGCTTTTCGCTTCAGGACCATCTAACCTTGTCACGCCAAAACCCCTGTTAGCACACCTCTGAGTACGCAGGCAAAGCAAGTTAACCCCTGGGCAGATGTCCTTCCTGCTTCTCATCCCCTCAAAGCCAGAAGATAAACAAAAGCCACCACATTTTCACAATGGCTTTCAGAGAAAACAATATCCAGTGGCAGACCTTTTCCTAGACTGACGCATCTCTGCAAACCGCCCTAACACTTCCTTTGATAGCCGGGGTCCTGTGTCTATTGGTTTAGTCGTAAACTGAAAAATTGTTTCTGTTTTGGTAAGATTAGTGCCTCTGAAATACAGCTTTACGAGAATCATTGCTTAGCGTCTCCAGCTGAGATGAAATAGGATAATCAAATTTTCACATATAAAATTAGCATGATTAAATAGCTAAATACTACTGATGAGCCTGACCATTCTGAAATACATATTGTGGAAGATCTAGTAGCATTGAGAAGAATTTTTAACCTCATCTGAACATAAACCATGCAAGTTAACATGGAATGATTTACTAAAGCAAAAATTGAGTAAGAAATTTTAGCTGATGCAATCTTACTTCGTTGCCTCTGCTAGAACTGATAATTTGCTATTGGCAGCACGAGCAATGAATGATCGCTGCACTTCGCTACGCCATGCAGAAGCTTATTAAAAAACAAGGAAGTATGATAATGTATTTCTATTACAAATTCACACTTATTATCCAGATTCCTGTTCTCCTAACCCCTCTCAGGATGCCCTTCAATTCTACAGTTTTCGTCTTAGACAAAAGATGATACCTGGACTCTGGACATCCAGGTGTCAGAAGAGTTCCAGTTCATCTCAACAACAGTATTTCTAGAGTTGAAATTTCTGAGAAATTGGATGAATGATCTTTAATTAAGCACCCCCAGGCAGTTTCTGTGTGCATGTGTCAATGTTCCACGAATTGGGCATTCAAAAACCATCTGCAGGGACCACAGAACTCCTGCACTAAGTGGCTGGAAGCATCTGCTGCCCTGTCTTTACAGATATACTTCCCTTTAAAGAAAAAAAAAATCTTAAAAATCATTAAAGACTACAATTACTATTTTTTCAAAGTCTACCTTGTTTGTATAAACTGAAGTAGAATTTAAAGAATTGTTGTTGTGGTTAATCGGTTTGCCCCAGCTGCCTGACAACCAGTAATTACGCTCAAATATTGCTTGGATAAAAGGATTATAACATGTTTCAGTGGTGTTAAGTCTGAAACGTAAGAACACTATCAGGCAAAGAACAGTAGGACAGAATAGTGATGAAGTGACAAACTATTTTTGGTTAAGTGTTTTTCTGTTCATTAGTTGGTTTTGGTGACGTGGGGTGTACGAGCACGTCTCCTCCGCCAGCACTCCCATGCTCAGAACCCATGCTGAAACCAGCCACACGCGTGGTTTTC